AATTTTAAATATAATTTATATATTCACATAATATTTATTTTTATATATAATTTATTATAAATTTTAATTATATATAATAAACATGTCTTTATATTATACAGATTAAAGTATTAATTTTTATGTATAAATAAATAATATATACAATTATCATTTTACTCTTCTCTTTTTATTCACATTTGTTTTTATGTTTATGAACATAATGCATTACCAATTCTATCATATTAGAACATGATGATTTTCATGCACAATGCATTATCTATTAACATAATACAATACTCATGAGAGAAATTTTGTTTTTAATAATACAATATCCATTACCATAATGCATTACATGATAAAACTTTATTTCTTCAATCATGAATGATTATAATAAAAAAGAAATATAAATTATTTTTGTTTTCTTTATTCAATTTCACACGACACTCTTCTTATCTTAAAGGATAAATTTTCATCCCATGAAACAAATCATCTTCACTTAATCATTCACTAAGCCCTCTACCAAGCACATGTAATTTTTGAATATACCCGTAAACCGTCTCTTATATGAGATTTTTTTTTATTAAAAAAATTCAAGTTTCACATCAACTAGAATTAAATAGTATATAAGTAAAAAGAAACCATTACCTTATAAGTTAATTTTATAGGGTTAAGTTAGGTTCAAATCTACTATTATAAAACTTATAAATCTACGTAGGGGTTAATTTCTCTAACCCCCTATACGGTGAATCCTAATCCAAAACACTCAAACTATATAACGTGTTAAGATAAGTTCTCCAAATTTTACCTTTATGTTAGAATTGGTAAGCTTCATACGAAACTTACGTGGTACATATTCCTTGTTATTTCTACTCAAGTAAAAGTGATGCTCTTCTATAGTTAGCCTTAATATTTCTAACTTTCCATTTATTTATTTTTTCATTCTCTAATCAAAACTATATCGTCTAAAGAAACATACATCTTGGCAGCCGCTCTGAGATATGTTGCGCAAGGGCATCCGAGAATAAGGTAAAGACTAAAGAGATGACGACTCAAAACTGACCCATGATGCAGTTCTATTATTATAGTATAATATTTTTAAAAAATACAAATGATTAATAAGAGTAGAAAAGGAAGTTGCTATTTCACAAGAATTGATACATGCTCACAATCCCCGAATCCTCAGGTAATGCTTGGTAATAATGTAAAATATAGAAAAGAGAAGAAAAAAGTAAGAAATATAGTAGAAATTAAAATTATTTGATAGGAGTAAGGTGACAGAGAAGGGAAGAAAAGATTATTTTTTAAATTAATTTATATTGAATTAAATAAATAAATTTCAATTTATTAAATATTTTCATTTATTATAATAATTTATTATTGTATTTTATATTTAAATTATTTAATTTTAAAATAAATATATACATATATATATATATATATATTTATGACATT